ATGTCCGATCTCGTCGACGTCCTCCCTGATTTTGACCTCAAACCGTACTCACACCTTCTACATTCCCTCGAGAAAAATGACATCACTGTCGCCGACTTGATCACCCTCGATCCCAAAGAGATTGCTAGGAAATGCCCTCTTCCTGCAGCCGATGTCCAGAGGTTGGTGCACGATGTAATAGAGGCTCTGCAACGCGACACGCTGCGAGGATTAAGAAAGAAGCACAAGAATAGAGCTGTGGATGCCGAGGACAGAGCAGACGATGGAACACAGTTCACAGAGACAAAAGGCGACATACCATTCAAAGTAAGGACCTTGGATCCGATTATAGATCAGGCATTGAATGGGGGCTTGTACCCAGGCCACATCGTAGAAGTGGTTGGAGAGAGTGCTGTCGGAAAGACTCAGTTCGTCCTAGGCCTTTTGCTCTCTGTTCAACTACCTCCGCCAAAGGGCCTCGGGAAAGGGTCAATCTATATTTCGACCGAAGGGCCTCTCCATACCAAGCGGCTCAGTCAAATACTTCTCAATCATCCTGAGTACGACAGCTTGGACCCTGGTCAAGGGCCTTCACTTGATCACGTGCATACCATTGCAACGAACGATCTCGAAGCGCAGGAGCATATCATCCGGTATCAACTCCCCATCGCAGTCCAGCGATTTAACATTGGACTGATCGTCCTAGATTCAGTGGCGGCAAACTTCCGAGCCGAGCACGATACTCGGACGGCGGCGCAACTCGCCAATCGAGCCTTTGAGCTGGCCAAACTGGGAAACCTCCTGAGGAAGATCGCTATCGAGAATAACATAGCGGTCGTGGTCACAAATCAAGTCTCGGATCGCTTTGAAGATTCCAGAAATCTCCTTCAGCCATCATCTCCGCTTACCACGTCTTCTCCTACCCTTCCATCATCACATACACAAGCGGTGGTGGAGAGGCAGAGAGAGGTACAGAGCCTTGATCATCAACAGCGCTTCTTCACTGGATGGGGAGACGAGACAGGGAAGACCAAACATGAACAATTGAAAACTCCGGCGCTTGGTCTGGCGTGGGCCAATCAAATATCTGCTCGCATTGTCCTTAAGATGGAGAGTGAACGGCAGGAATATGCAGGAGGCAATATCTGGAAAGACAAGAAGAAAACCAGGAACTTCTCAGTGGTCTTTGCTCCGTGGGCGGGTCCAACCCATTCTCTGATTCGATATGAAATTACAACCCATGGTATTGTTTCGATCCCAGACACCGAAAGGCCCGAAAAGGCACTTGCAACCGTAGATGAGGAACACCAGGACTTGCTGGACGAGGCGTTCTGGGCCACAGAAGACGATGAAGAGTTTCCTTGATGGTCTGGAGTAGGCTGCGCAGCGGTATTTGACCTGGTTGGATAGATATCTGGTCCGCAAATATGCAATTGGGTTGAAAGAACATTGTCTAGAGCCCGCGCATCAGAGATTAAGCACTGCCTTTGTTTTGTCTGGCTAAGGAATGGGGCGAGGCACATCAGTAGTCTGATAAGATGGCGGAGAGGCCACTCCAAAGGCGAAAGATACAGAGGCGATGGCGTCAAGATCGGGGTCGTTCGATACTCGGTGTCTGTAGAAGCAGGAAAAGGCAAATGTCAATATATCCACTAATTACTCCTAATCCGGTATGTACAGCCGACACGTCTTTTGATTGGCTCCGGCCTTTCTCCAAGTTTGAGCTTGAATTCATCCCGCCTTTGTTGCTTCCAACAGCACGACAATTGCACAACGAGTAGGCTTCATCTGCGACTTTTGTATCGTACAAACCTTCGCTCTTGGCTTACTTCGTGGGCATCCTTATCGTCCCGGATACATGGCCACCCGCCCACCTGTGGCGGAGAAAATGATGAATGGCAAGTAACTCAGACGATCCCAAGATCGACCCGGTTGTTCCTCGAAGGACAAGTCCGAATATCAGCATCATCCTGCTTGCTTTTATTGATGCCCTTCCCCCACCCCCTCTAGTTGTCGAGGAAGGTTCTTAAAGTCCTTATTGTCTTTTTCTAGTTTCCTGTCTTGTCTTCTTAATCATTGGAGTCAGCTCAAGTCTTGACAGTTGAAGATGCCCACCACAAACGGCCATACAGTCCCCAAGATGACCTTCAAGCATCCCTTGGACCAGCTGAGCGCCGATGAAGTCAATGTTGCTCGACAGGCAGTCCTCGACGCCCGCAAGGCTGCCGTTCTCTTCCGCAACATCTTCACTGTTGAGCCCGCTAAGGCCGAGCTGGTCAAGTTCCTCGCCGCCGAGCATGCAGGGACTCTTACCTCCGAGACCCCCCGACCTCCTCGCCAGGCTCGTGTTCAGTACGACGTGGTCTTTGAGGACCGGAGCCATGAGTACATGGAATCAGTGATCGATGTCGCCTCGGGCAAGGAAGTCGACCACAGACGGGTGCCTCCAACTTCGCAACAATCCCTGACAGTGGATGAGTTTAGGGAGTTCAACGAGGTGTGCGTGGAATCAGAGATGTTTAAAAACGCTATCAAAGAGCTCAACCTCGACGAGAAGTTCGAGGTCGCCATCGATCCATGGCCTTATGGCGGCCCAGACGTTGGCGAGGTCGCCCCAAGGCAAGTGTCTATCCTCTACTCACTATCCAGTCTCTAACCTATGGCCCAGGTATACTCAAGGTCTATGCTTCGCCAAACTACGAAATGGCAACCCCGATAGCAATCATTACGGGTTCCCTCTGCCCATCATTCCAGTGATGGATACCTACAAGAAGGAAATTGTTCGGATTGAGCGTCTTGCCACTGGCGGTACCGAGGATGGCCTCAACTATGGCACAGCCGGCAAAAACGTCCTGGAGCATTGTAAACCGGCTGAATACGTTCCCGAACTGCTGGATACCCCGCTTCGCAAAGACGTGAAACCCTTGAACGTGGTCCAGCCCGATGGGCCATCATTCACTGTGAGCGATGACTCTTTGATTGAATGGCAAAAATGGAGGTTTCGAGTTGGGTAGGCAATTCCCTGCGTTCACCTCGAAGTTCAGCACTGATTGAATTGATACAGGTTCACTCCTCGTGAGTGTGCCGTCCTTCATGACATCCACTACGACGGTCGAAGCGTGCTCTATCGCTTGAGCTTGTCCGAGATGACTGTTCCCTACGGCGATCCTCGACCGCCGTTTCAGCGGAAGCAGGCTTTCGATTTTGGAGACGCTGGCGCAGGTAGAGCTGCAAACAATCTTGCGCTCGGCTGTGACTGTCTGGGTGCCATCAAGTATATTGACGCAATGCTCGTGGACTCGGAAGGCAAGCCCTCAGTGTCGAAAAACGTCGTGTGTATCCACGAGCAAGATAATGGAATTGGTTGGAAACACACCAACTTCAGAACCAATCGAGCAGTGGTGACGAGACTGCGAGAACTGGTCGTTCAGTTCATCATTACACTGGCAAACTACGAATACATCTTTGCCTACAAGTTTGATCAGGCTGGAGGGTAAGTGGACATCAGCCATGGTTGTGATTGAGTGCTTATATTCGGTTGCAGCATCACGATAGAGACCCGAGCCACCGGAATTGTCTCGGTGGTGAACATTGACCCTGACAAGGTGAGCCCTTATGGCAACGTCGTATCACCTGGCGCCCTCGCCCAAAATCACCAGCATATTTTTGCCGTCCGGATCGATCCGGCCATCGATGGCCACTCCAACACCATTCTCACGGAAGAATCCCTACCGATTCCCATGAACCCGAAGACGAATCCGCACGGCAATGGCTACGAAATCGTCCGTAAGCCTGTCACCAAGTCGACATCGATTCACGCCTCTCCTTTCACAAACCTGACCATCAAAATGACCAATCCTAACAAGGTCAATCCTGTCTCGAAACGACCTGTCTCATACAAGTTCATTCCCACGCCGTCCCAATTGATCCTCGCTGACCCCGAGTCCATTGTCGCCAAGCGAGCAGCGTACGCTCACCACCACGTGTGGGTCACCAAATACCGGGACAATGAACTTTTTGCAGCAGGAGAATTCACGAATCAATCACAGCTCGAGGTAGGTGGAGTGGCGGACATGGCTGCGCGCAACGACGACGTGGAGAACGACGATGTGGTCGTCTGGAACGTCTTTGGTCTTACCCACAACCCGCGCGTGGAAGATTGGCCCGTCATGCCCGTGGAGATTCACCAGGTCCATTTGCGTCCGGCGGACTTTTTCGAGAGAAATCCTGCCCTCGACGTGCCTGGCAACAAGAACATCGCCAGCGTCGAGATTGGAAGAGAGACCAACGGAGAATGCTGTCACGCGAACGGGAATGGATCCGTACAGGCCGATCCGACCTCGCATCTGCAAGGTACAGGAAGCACGCCTGTTGCGGCAGTCAACGGACACTAGATCATGATAGCGTATAGACAATTGCACGAAACTAATTACGAATGAAAAGCAACAAGGTTTCGCAGGAAAATAAATGCAAACAAAGCGCAAGACGAGTGCGTCCGGCAAGAATTATTCTACCTGTATGCTTCGGAAGGTTCAAGCTTATGAGTAGTGGGATCCAGATTGACAGTGATTGAGGCTTTCTAGATGCTCGAAATTCAGCCTTTGGCAGATCACTACCCAGTACCGAGTAGAGTGCCCCATGTGTCAAGTGGTCAGACCACTCGCTTGTCTCAATAATAATGGTGCAGCATGCCTTCAGGCTGCGACCCAGAGAGTCATTTAACGAGACCCCACGAACATCGGCTCGGTCCGAGTCAGCATGGATGGCCATGGTTCCCAAGGGTTCCTACCAGCGTGCCAGCTCACCTGGTGGCGCGGTGGCGTCATTCAGTAAGTCGCCTGCGCTGCCTGGTTTCCCCGCTGATTAATTCTCGAGGTACCAGTTCGAGAACAATCTTCAGCGAATGACTATCTAAATCTTCTGCTGGAGGAAGCTGGCTTCTTCGTTATTCCTAATCTATTCGTTATCGCCACTAAATCACCCGCGATTGACTTGTCGATCATACCCATCAACGAGACAAGATGAAGATCCAATATCGAGATGAGACCCTCGAGCTGGAGGATATTCCGGATGAAACCATTCGTGATCTGGCAACAAGATGCGCCGAAAGGATAGGCGCAGATGTCGAGCGAGTGTCTCTCTTTTTCCTTCCCAAACCCGGCTTTGTCAAGCATCCGTTCTCCGACCGCAAATTGGACGAGTTCCTCACGCCGACGACACGAATAAAGCTAGTTGGCACGCCCAATGCTGAGGTTAAAAAGATGGAGGACATGGGCGCGGCTACCCGAAGGGTGTCACGCCCGAGCGGATTCAAACCGGTCAAGGCAAACAAGGTCCGAGATTGGAAAAAGATCCAGGAAGAGACAACCTACACCTTCCACGCCATAGAGCCTCTGCCATACCTACCAAACCCAGAAAAGAGCAGACGGTTTCTAGAGCGGCTGGCAAACGACCCGGGGATCAAAGCATCCATGCGGAAGCACAAGTTCACGGTCGGGCTCCTCACAGAAATGAATCCCGCAGAGCACACGACCCACGAGTCAAAGACACTGGGCTTGAACCGCAACCGGGGTGAGGTGATTGAGCTGAGGCTGCGGACAGACGCATATGATGGATACAGAGATTACAAAGTGATTCGCAAAACCCTTTGCCACGAACTGTCGCACAACGTCTGGGGCGAGCACGACCGGAACTTCTGGGAGCTCACAAAAGAGATCGAGCGCGAGGTAGAGCGCAACGACACATTGCATGGCGGGCATCGCCTCTCGAATGAGGAGTTCTACGATCCCAACGACACGTACGAGGACGCCGAGCATGCAGACCATGGGGGCTGGACAGGTGGGAGCTATGTGCTGGGGGGTTCGAAGGAAGGCGATGGTGAGAGCGCGAGTGGCCTGAGTCGACGGGACATTGTGCTACGAGCCACCCTGGGTCGCCTACAGAAAGAAAAGGAGGCGAGAGAGCAACGAGATTCCTCTCCACCAGCATCTTAGTTATTAGTGTTGACTTTTGTCCTCCTTTGCGATAGCATGGTGTTGGTGGTCGGTCGTCTCTTGATGCTTGGGTATTACGATAATATTATATTTCTTCCAGAAAGTCAGTCCCTGGAGTTCCTGCTGCCACTATCATTATTATTATTATTATATTCTCCATCTACTTGTCATCTTCAGCCTCCGTTTTTCGGGCCCCGAACTGCAACAGGGTACGGATCGGGGTTGCAAGGCTACTCCAACTTTTCGTACAGGTCCTCCGTATTTCAGGAGTGGTTCTAGGCGCTTGAGCTCAGCGGACTCGGCCTGTGGTCGCCCTGAATGCTTAGATTGGGGCTAGCTAGTGAACCAAAGTCAGCTAAGTCTTTTGGCGAGGAGCAAGGCTCACCTGTCTGATTCAACCATTCTTCGGGGCTATCATCGATGGAGCGATGGAGGAGCTAGCCGGCCCCAGAATCCGAAATCAAGGTGCAGGAACTGGTTCATTTAGGGCTGGGGGAGGAGTACCAAGTAATCGTACCCGTCGTAGTGACGGTCCGTAGCCAGGATTGGCAGGGTTGGCAGCTGATGTACCATGTAGAAGCCTCTAGGACCTTGACACGATCCGTCATGCATATTATTGGCATTCCATGCTCGACGAGTACAAGTACAGGTTGCAGGTCCTCCTGGACAATCGTATGTATACTCCTGTGTGCCTCAGCCACTGGAAATTTGTGCTGATTCCGAAATTATCTGTCTCAGTCACTACCGTCGTTGCCTCTGTCTTGGTTATCGCCGCCTAGGGACTTGTCCCGTCGGAAGACGCCCTTGTAACTTTGACTGCTGCAACGTTATCTCTCCCCTCACGCAAATCTTCCAGGGACGAAGACGTCACTTCCGCTGGCTGTTACACCCAGACAGGTGAATCAACCAGAGGCTCCGTGAGGAATACGGAGTCCCTTGTCATAATAATAAAGAGGAGCTCCTTCTGCTCCTCCAACCAGAGAAAGGTATGGTTGCACCCAGCATGCAGGTCCGCTTCCCGCTCCCGTCTACGTCTGCGTCTGCGTTTGCCTTTGCGTGTTGAGTCAAAAAACTGTCCGGTTCGAGGATCTGTCACAACATGTCAGACTCCTCATCACTTCCTGCTTGATACTTCCTTTCGTTACCTCTTCCTACTGTCCTGTACCTCTTTCATCCTACAGCATTCTAGTCTTGTCACTTGCAGGCATCGATACTGAATGCCTCTGTTAGAAGGGTCGAGGCAGGCCTCGCCTACCCCGAATCCAAACTCCCCCGACCCTGTCCCTGCGGCCATCTTCAACCGTCGCCCCAGCGAACAGTTTTCCGATTTGGCTCGAGTCGCAATCATGACAAATGCATCTGCCTCTTCTCATGAGGGCGAATCCTTAAATCATGTCGCATACCACTCCAGTCTGATGCCTCCTCCCAAAACCGCCTTTGGCAGGTCCGCATCCAATTTGTCCACGCATAAACCATCGACAAGTACCTGGGGCAGAGCCTTGACGGACACTCCTGCTCCCAGTGCGCCCACAAGTCCGCAGATGTAAGCGCCCCGAGAATTCTTAAGAAAAATGCGACAGCCACAGGCGCTGACTTGATCAGACATGCTCGAACCAGTTCAAACGTGTCAGGGTCCGCGACTCCCAAAATCCGTGCCACCACCCTCGATATCCCCGGGTTAACTAGATCCAAAGTCTCCCCGAATGGTCAAATATCAGAAAGAGATGTTGCAGCCAAGCTCATTATCATCATGGTCGGTCTACCCGCCCGGGGAAAGAGCTACATCGTCAAGAAGATTGCTCGATACTTGAACTGGTTACAGCACCCAACCAGGATATTCAATGTTGGAGATCGTCGAAGAGTGGCAGCTGGTGTTGGTCAACCTATCCCCGATCGAACGACTGCCGCGCTGAGGGAATCTGTACGTCGAATGAGCTCTACAACCAAGGGACCTCAGTCAATTGTTGATCATGGAGAACTACTCCCACCGCCTGCCGTTGAGACTAAGATTCTCATCAATGGCGAAGTAACCTCATCTCCCGTAAGTCCGTTACAAATGAACGGATCGACCAAGTTTGAGGATGATAAGAAAGACCCTATTCAGCTGTCTGGGCCCGAACCCATGGATCAGTCTGCGCAATTTTTTGACCCAAACAATACCAGAGCCAAGCAGTTACGAGAACAGGTGGCCCACGCAGCCTTGGACGAGCTCTTGAAGTACGTTCTTGAAGACGGCGGATCGGTCGGAATCCTGGACGCCACGAATCATACCCGGGAGCGACGTCTGTCGTTGGTCAGACACATCCGGGAGCGCGACGAGAACATCAATATCCTCTTTGTCGAATCGCGATGTCAAGATCAGAACTTGCTGGAAGCAAACATGCGACTGAAATTGTCAGGTCCAGATTACAAAGGCAAGGATCCAGTGACAGCGTTCCTGGATTTCCAGCAACGTGTCCAACAGTATGAAAAGTCATACCAGAAACTAGATGAGTTCGAGGAAGAACACAACATGGCGTATTGCTCCATGATTGACGTGGGGCGGAAAATGGTGACGCATCAAGTCAAGGGTTTTCTCTCCATACAAACCGTCACGTACCTGATGAACTTCAATTTGGCACCGCGACAAATCTGGATCACCCGACATGGAGAGTCCATGGACAACGTCAATGGCAAAATCGGTGGCGACAGCTCATTGAGTCCTAATGGTGTGAGATATGCTCAGGCCCTTGCCAAATTTATTGGGGTAGAATGGAAGGCATGGGAAGAGTACCAGGCCGAAAAACAAGCAAACACCCATTTTCCACCGCTTCCAGGCGACACGACACCGCCAAATCCGGAATATACGGCACAAACACTGCAGCAGCGGAATTTCTGCGTGTGGACGAGCATGCTGAAACGGAGTATCGAGACGAGCCAGTATTTCAACGACGAGGAGTTTGATATCAAGCAGATGCGAATGCTAGACGAACTCAACGCTGGATCAATGGAGGGTATGACCTACAGTGAAATTCGAGACAAGTTTGCGCACGAGTATGAGCTCCGAAAACGAGACAAGCTCCATTACCGGTACCCTGGTCCCGGCGGCGAGGGATATCTGGACATCATCAACCGGCTGGGAAAGGTCATCCTCGAAATAGAAAGAATGACGGACCACGTCCTGATCATCGGCCATCGAAGTATCTGTCGAGTTCTCCTAGCCTATTTCATGGGGCTCAAGCAAGAGGACATTAGCGACCTGGATGTTCCGTTGGGTGTGGCATATATGCTCGAACCGGTAAGACCAAGATGTTTTCTACAATTATTCTCTTTACTGACGTGAGACCTGCAGCGACCATACGGCGTCGAGTTCAAAGCATATCGATGGGATCCTGCCACGGATCAATTTCTCTATGAGCCAGACTATCGGATGAGGCGAGCTATTGACCCACAAGCCTGATGTTTTGTCGTTCCCTCTGCGTGCCCAACTATGATACCCCTGCCCGCATTGACCATGGCATATATCTATATAGACCATACAAAACCTTGGTGGGATACCGGCGGACTCGCACGGGCATCTCCTGCCTTTCTGGACCATCGCACACTCAGATGATTGCTACGACTGGACTAATACTTTTTTCTTTTGACATTTGGCAGGCAAGATTGTTGTTGGCACCACCGTCCAGATATGAGTCGCTTCAATTCCTGGGTGGACTAGTGATCAAGTTATTGGGGGAAAGGAAAGTGATTAGCGTACGGCAGATCTATTGCGTCTTAGCACAGGCGTTGGGGGAGTGCTTTCAAGGCCACTGGCCTCAATTTGGAGTCTTGTTCTTCTTCTTTCGTGTACAGCATGTCACCATATTTACATTGGGCAAGTCTGGTAGAATCCGTGTGGTTCGGGAAAAAGAACCAGGTGTATCTGTGGCAGGCAAGATAGGCAGTGGATCAGACTAGCCGAGAGCAAGGAGTTGCAGAGAGGGAGAAGGTTCTTTGATTAAGTTAGCCGAACAGGGCATACTAGTCTGGTTGCGGACGATCCTCGCTCTGCTTTCTCGCTCGTCTCTCTCCGGAAAGACGGGACCAGAGGTGCTTCTGGGACAATCCTTCAGTCCCAGGGCCTTCACCAATGGGAATGAAACCGGAGAGGGGCGTCTGTCATCTTTGCCACGAGTCTACGACCCGTTTGGTGCCCCTTAGTGAACTAGCGTTACAACCAATGTTTGCCTAGACGAATATCTGGCCAGCTGTGGATGGAGTATTGCTGATTGTGTGTGACTCTCACTCACCAATGCAGTCAGTCTTGCAAGGCTTCGGAGTTAGTAAAATCTTGGATGCTGATAAGAGGGGTTGAAGAGTAATACTTATACATACAGTGTATGTGCATGTGTGTGTTGTGTGTGGTGTGCCGTTGATCCGATCCACCACTCATTTTTTTGGCTTTCGGAGAAAGGATGTGACATGCAGTCAGTCCCTCATACACATGTCCGTACCAAGTACTTATATTAAGACCGGCGCAGTGAAAGCTTGTCTCTCTTGTTTCTCTTGTCTCGGAACCTCACATCGCTCACTTAGTTCACTTGCCCCTCACACTCTCATCTCGGCCGCCGCCCTCAGTCATTGACAGTCAACTGGTTCACATGGTGACTGTCGTCGCCCGTATGAGACGCCGCTCACTCTACACCACGTGTATCCTTCATCGCACCATGAGCATGATGGTCCAATAACACTGGGAGATGAGGTGTTTGTCAATCAAGCGTCCAGTAAAACATCACTACGAATTCCACGGCAGCTGTCCAAGGCAGAGAAGTCCCAGGCACCACGAAAATCAGACGCCCCAAACGTGCCGGGAGAAATAATATTGTTTGAGCCGCATCCGCTGGCTTCGGGTGTGGGCCTCACTTCATTATTACTGCAATATCGCCAACAAGGCCGATACGGTACCGCCGAGGCCTTTTACGGAAGAAAACAGGCCATTTTGAGAGGAGCCGGACTGAGAAACACAAAGAGAAAACCACCCT